GCACACTCGGTCTGTGCATGGGGAAGGCAAGCAGCGGTGGTGTCAGGGAGCTGACATTCCTGGAAGCAGTTGTCAACCTATGACAGACAGAAGGCAGTTGGCGATAAACACCCCAGAGGTCTCCAGTGGGAATGGGCCCCACTGCCCAGAGCAATAGCTTGCTTTTTGATGCATCCTATGTTGGCTTTCCTCCCTTCCCTGTCTTGCTTCCTCTCCCAAATAAACAATGGGCTAAAATACTTGTCATTTCAAGAACCAAAGACACTTGGAAAGGAAATTCTATTTCACTGGTAACTCACTGATCAGCACACAATTACTGGCCCTCATCGGCTGGATCACACTGCACCCAGGCATGTCCTGCACACATCACCCTTTACCCAGGCTCTGCTATCGGGTACAGGGTCATGGGAATATGTGACAGGAAGAGGGTTATAGTCAGAGGGCTGTAGTCTCAGAGCCAGACATGAGACTGCAGACCTGCAAATGCAGTTTTGCACAGGCTGTAAGAAAGAGATGGCTGACACGTCACGCTGTCCTAAAAATACAGAGCTAACAAAAACATCTTCAAATACATTCATCAACAAAGATTCCACTATTATGACTGACTGAGCAGCTCAAGAGTGGAGAAGCCCAGAGAAGCTGTGGCAGTTGCCTGTGGTTACAGGGAAGGCAAAGCTGTCACTGCAGTTCAGGCTTTCTTCTGCAAGCCTACTGCTGATAAAGTGACGCCTTTCATTCTATCCGAATGGGAAAATCATGGAAAGCTATCCGCAACTGCTACTCACTTTGAGCAAGACTGTATTCAGAAAAATTCTTGAACTGCAGACTTAAAGTAAAGCGGAATAAAGCAACTAAGAAACTACTGGGATCAGCATCCGGCAGGGATGCTTTTATCAGCGCCGTGCCTCTCCTCCGAGCCACCCAGCCAGCTGGCTGGCCACACTGTAACTTGTTCACCATCCATCAGGGAAATAAAGCAGCCCACCCCAGAAATGATGCAGAGATGGCTGTTTTGCAGTGACCCAGCCTCGTCAAAGCACAGAAAATGCATCATATCCCCAAAACCATTAGTGGCTCACACTTGGACTCCACTATCAAACCAGAATAGAGCAAGAAATATGATGGACACGTTTGTGATGCTTCCCCTGACCTGAATCAATGCCCCTTTCAAACCCGTGGCTTACAAAGAATGATGGCATGCCCCCCTCCTTAAGAAAAAGCTCCCCCCTGCAAATACAGCATGTTAATGAACCGTTACGCAAGCCCACTGAGAGAACACACCATTTGGAGTGCCTGGAAGCCGGCAGAACGTGTTACGCTCAACATTTCTCAAAATCCCCAATAACAGAATATCAGAAGGTCAGGATCCTATTAAATTCAAGCCTGTTTTTGCTACTTCCTGTGTGAATGTTTTGGCCCTATCACAGGTTCATATTTTCCAGCTTGCCAATACGATGTCTTTCCTTTCTTCTCTTGCTGTTCTTAGCAGCACCCACGTCACATGGATCCACCCTCCTTATTCCCGCGTCCTGCCCTCCTCCTTCCATCCTGCCTGGCACTCTCTGGACCCCCAGGGAGATGGCAGACCCCATGTGCTCTGGGGGACAGGGACCCACCCCTTTCTGTGACAGAGCATGACAGAGAGACACACCAGGGACTCAGTGGGATAGGGCGTCAAGCTGAAGCCCGCGGGATGATGGAAGGGTGAATATTCCGTGTCCCGAGGGGAGCTCATGAAGATGTCCTGCAGTGGAAAAGAGTCCAGACGCACCAAGGAACTGAAAGACAAACTTCTAGCTGGGCGGCAGCGGGCGTACGAGGTAGCTGCAGGGGCTGGGCCCGGCCACTCCCACCTGCTGCCCAGGCCTTGTGACTTGTGTCCATATAGCAGAGGTAAGCCAGTGAATGGAGTCAGGGGATAAGGGAATCACCTTTTGTTTGGAAACACTCTCTCTCCCTCCTACAGGTCCCTCCAGGGTGCACTTAACTGAGTGCTCCTTCATTACAAATGTCTGTTTTGGTCCTGCGTCCCCTCCCCCCACCACACTCTAATCTGGCCTCCCCACTTCACTGCTCCCCTTCCACAGAGCATACCTTTGTCTTCCCTTCCCTCCCTCCCTGTGTGCCCTGGAGAGGTGAGGTTGACTTCTGCTCCCATGATCCAGGCTGAGCCCCTGCCTATTCTGCCCAGCAGAGTGAAGGGGCCGCTCTGGGGTTCTTAGGATCAGTCCCTACAGAGCCTGGTGGCCCTCATTTCCTTCTTCTCTGAGCACCCCCTGCCACCACTCTGGGGGATGCCTGTGCCAAGTGGAAAGGCTTTTAGAGGGAGCTGAGGTGGCAGAGGTGACAGCCTCAGCTGAGCTCCCACCAGCAGCTGCCACCACCACCAGCCGTGGGGTTGAGACCCTCCACATTCCAGCTTGTCTGAGCCCCAGCCCCCTGCTTTCTGCCAAAAGTTCACGTGCACAGACAGGCAGCCACATGGATCCAGTCGGTCCACAGCCTGGTGAGAAGTGATATGCATACCTTTTTTTTAAGACACTAAGTTCAGGGTAGTCTGTCAAGCAGCAAAAGATAAACGACACTGTGTCTATGATGCCTTAAAATACATTCTGTAACCTGCTTATGCTACACCATGTTCGCGTGGACATGCAAGCCATACACTTAACAGTTACTTCAGAAAGGAGGTTCGACATCCCATTTCTCAGAAAAACTGAGGCAGAAGAGGGCAGATTCCGTGATAGAAGCTAGCAGACGTGGCCAACAGGGAGATGGGGGAAAGAGGGAAGAAAAAGATAGTTATTTAGAGCTCAAGGGGAAACATGAGAGGGGTTCTGGGACCGTCAGTTGGGTCACACATGTGGGAGGTAGCATTATTTCTGAGGGCCTGCTCCCTGGTGACAGCAGGTGGAGACTGTACCTTTGCTCCCTGAAATTCAGTTTATATAGGATTCTTGGTAACTCTTCATAAGCCAGAACATTAGAATCATCAAACATTTTATTTATTAGAGTTCGAGGTCCTGCATGTAAGACACAAGAACCATCTCTACAGCCTTATTAGGATTCTACCACATTATAATATTTATTCTTGACTTCAAATGAAAAAGAACTAAATTAGGCACAATGCAAAACCCTTACTGATACTGACATTTCCTTCTGAATTGTCCTACCATCTTAGTCGGAGCAGAAATCCTCATTACCATGCCTGTAAAAGCACAACTGCTATTTGGTCTTTGCCAAGTACCACACTAAGCGTGCGAGGTACATCCATAGAGTGATCCCTTCCAAACTCTGTGAAGCTGGCATCTCCCCTGTTCTGCAAAGGAGGAGTCTAAGACTTAACTGCCCAGTTATAAACACAGTAAATATTACAGCTAAGATTCATAACCCCAACTTCTCCAATCCTGACTCGTTGTCCTTAAGTAGTCAACGGCAATGGCCCTGTTAGGGGCTGAATTGTGTTCCCCCCAAAATTCACATGCTGAAGTCCGAATTCACATGCTGAAGTACCTCAGTACGTGACTGTATTTGGAAAGAGTCTTTAAGGAGGTAGCTAAGTTAAAATGAGGTCATTAGAGTGGGCCCTAATCCAATATGACAGTTGTCCTCACAAGAAGAGATTAGAGAGCACAGACAGGCACAAAGAGAGGACCATGTGAAGACACAGGGAGAAGGTGGACATCGACAAGTTACAGGAGAGGAGCGTCAGAAGAAGCCAAACCTGCTGACACCTTAATCTTGGACTCCCAGCCTCCAAAAGAAAATACATTTCTGTGAGAAAACAAATTTTTGTTGTTTCAGTCATTCAGTCTGTGGTATTTTATTATGGCAGCGCTGGGACACTGATGACCCCAAGATGAGCCATGGGATTTCATGGGCTTCACCTACTCAGTAGGGGACCACTTACTCTGATTTTAGACACGTTGCAAAACTCAGGTGTCAGAAGCTGAAGAGCGGCAGCAAATCAGGAGGGAATAATATTCTTCTAGAAACAGGCCCAATGATTCAAATGAAATGTAACTGCCAGCAAATTAAATTAATAGCTGATACAAGATAAAGAATCACCCAGCCTCCTAGAAGCAGTCAGTACAGGACAAACACGTCAGCTGGTCCCAGAATCACTCTGTGAAAACCACGGGCAGTGGCCAATGGTCACACTGTTTCCTAAGTCAGGAAGGCATGGGGCTTCCTTCTCTTCTATGTAAGACCAAAGGCAGCAGTCACCACCAGGAAATAACTTTCTTTTATATTAAGCTCGTTATCATACTCCAGACCCTATGGGGAAGAGGTGCTCTGGATCCCAATTTTGATTATGTAGTTTAGCCAAAAATTTTAGTGCTTCTAGAAATTTACCCTGCCTGAATACTTGCCTTTTGGGCATCTGGTCTACAAATCAGACTGTCCTGGATTACTGATGTATCCCTCATTTCCTGACCTCAGAAGCAGGACTATTAGAATATGACTGTTATATGCCTTCTGTCACGTACTCAACCTGTGTCACAAGCTTCCAAGCTCAGCTAGAGGTGACAATCCTCATGCACTCAGCTACTGGCAGCAGGGCTCTCCCAATGCATATTGGGGAATGCATCAAATGAGGAGCTGGGTCCAAACAGTGGATTTCAGTCATGCATGCCATGGGCCAGCAACTTATGCTGTGACCATAACTGCTGCCCTTCAGGTGCAAAGGTACTTCCACATGCAAAAATGCCTCAGTGCCAATATGCACAAAAGTATATGTGTACCTATAATGCACAGCCCCATGGACACGGTCATCGTAGGGAGAGTCCTAAGTAATGCAAGCCTGCATGCCAAGGCAGAGAACACGGAAGAGGGGGACAAAAGACTTCTCAAAGGCCTGGCCATTCACGAAGCATCATGGTCAGCAAGGATCCCAAATTACAGATAATGTGTCTGGCGTTTCTATAAAATACGCAAATATGCTTGGTTGTTACGTGTATGCAAGAATAAAATCATTTTTCCTTTTTGTCCAATGTGCTTACCTGTTATAGAGAAGAATGTCTGGCTTCCAAATCAGGCCATCTGGGAAACGAACAGTCTTCACGCCCGGATATTCTGACACATTCCATTGTAAATAGTGATCTGTCCAGGACTGAGACAATGACATTAACAGCACTTTGCTTTAGATACATTCAAAGCCAAAACGAGATCCAGATACTTATTTACATAACTGAATTGTTATCTACAAAATATAAGGAAGCTGGGAATTAAATAATCTCTTCCAAAATGACGTGAATAGCATAAAAAATCACATTTAAGATCCTGCTGTCACCCTGACCACATTCACATGGTAGCATTAAAGTTAATTCCGGTCCACTGCATGCCCCCAAGCCTTCCCCTCCCACAGCAGATGGGGTTTTTCTAGCCAAATGAGTGACTGTTTTGCTTTCAAAGTTCTCCGCTGAAACAACACTTGGGAAAAATAAATTCACTTATTTCAACTGGAATACGAACTAAGCTGGAAGAAAAAAAGGGGAGTATTTATTTCCATGAAACAATTCTGTGCAGCTGCTGGGGAACCTCTCAGAACCTTCGAAGGAGGGGTGTGTTTTTGGACTGGAGTTCATATTTTCATGCAGGAATAGCGCTTCTGATGCCACAACCCAAAAATGCTAACACTCAGCCTTGGTGGTCAAACACTGAATCACGACAGTGGTGCAGATGAAGACTCAGGACATAGTCATAAACATACCAGAACAGATGCATCTCCTCGGGGCCAGGCCTCAAGTTGGTTTTTGAGTGACTTCTGCCGGAGGAAGGCCCATGCCTGGGGTCCCTTGTCCCAGGACCACACACCCTAGCCCTACCTGGGGTCCACTAGCTCTATAAAGACTGGTCAGGTAGAATCTCCCCGGCAGCTGCTATACAAACAGCACCACCAAGCCAGGGTTGCAGAGCTGGCCCATTTGGACTTAGCAGCTCCTATATATGTGCCATAACCAGGGCAGACCCCAGTAAAGGCCCCATCCTGTATCCAGTATCCCTGAGGCCACCTGTACTCTGGAGCTCAGACCCTCTCAGACTTAGAGAGGTACGTGATGCAACACTTCCAGCTGGGACCAAGGCAACTCCCCATAATCAAACATATCACTATTTCTGCAGCAAAACATGCATACTGATCCTAAGTCAGAAAAATAAATTCCTCCCCTGCATATCTATTTCAGTTTGATTTTTAAACTCCGAGAGCCTGATGCAAAGTTACCAAAACAACATCAAGGGGGACAAAAGCCCTTTAATTTTCAAAGCTGTTGAGATTTGGGAATTGCAGGCAAGTGGTAGTGGATCCCAGAGCATGTCCCAGAGATCCCACCATCCTCCAGAGAGGACAGGCAAGTCCTTATCCAGAAAGGCTGTCCCATTCTGGGACCATCTGAAGTCAGACAAGAGGGATTAGCCAGGTGAGTAATGTCACTTTAAAGCCATGAGCCTCTGAGAATGAAGATTTGTCAATGTATAATGTGCTGGAGAGAAAGCCACCCCACTGATACTTCTAACTGATGTGGGTGGTTGGTGGAGGGGAGGGGAGGGGGAAAAAGGAGAGGGGAAGGACAGTTCCCAGAGGGTCAGTCTGTTGAAGCTGGTTTTTGGGAATGGCTGGGCATCAACCAAACTGTGTTTGCTCCAGCCTGCTCTGTCTCTGCACCATTGGCCCAGAGCTCCGTTCTTTTTCCTCCTTTGTCCTGGTGATGAGCCCTTCCATACCCAACACCTGTGATTTCCTTACTAGGATCTCATCTTACCCTGGGATGCTTCTCCGGGTTGGTGACTATCACAGGGCCTGTCACTGTCATTATTACCACCATGCTAATCAGGGTCATAGGGCTCCCAGAATGAAGGTGAGCATGGTAGGCAAATGCCCATCTCCCCTGCCTGCAGAAATGATGGGCAGAGCAGGGGGGGAAGGCAGGGAGTGGAAGTGCTGGGTTGGCCAAACCTCAGCCTCTTCTGATGGCACCATGTGTGAGCTGCAGGATGCCTCCCCAGCAATCTCCCCCTACCTGACTCATGATCTTAGCTGCATGTGTCCCCTGGGCATGTATCCTGACCATTTTGTTTGCTCCGTGTCGTGTGTACACCTTGCTTGCCAAGATTCAGGAATGCCAGCATGACAACTACTCATATTTACAAGAGGAGACTGGGGCACAGAGAAGCAACATCCTTTCAGTCAGTCACTGGGTCAGGACTCAGGACTGCAGTCAGTCAGGACTCAGGACTGCATTATTTGACTTCAAGAAGACTGACCAGTAGGCTCTACCATGGCTGACTCTTCCAACCCCATCTCTCTGCACTGACAAACTTCCCACCACAAGGAAGTGGGCTGTTCATCATCCCAGAAGATGCCTCACATCTGCTCACTTGAAAGCCAAGCTGGGTCTCCCCAACCCACAGGACAGAAAAGGCAGGCTGCAGGGAGAGGTGGAAATCAGGCAGACCCGGATTTTCACCAAGGCTGTGGCAGAGCCAGGTGTGTGAGCTCAAGCATGTTGTTAAAAAAACACAGGCCCCAAATTACTTAAGCCAAGTCACCAAACTTGGGCTTAATACTTACCTGCAGTTTCAATCACCCCCAGAATTGTAAGCTTTAACGGGTCAGTCAGGACTCTTCTGATCAGCCTCAATGAGGTCAACTGTCACATGGCCCTCTCCATCACATGAGGTGATCTGCTTGATAAGACCCCCTGCCCTTCCCCCTAAGGGAAGGTGACCTTGCCTGAAACAATCCTTTCTTTTCTCTTGCTTATAACTTTCTTGCCCTGCCCTCCATCCTATAAAAACTTTCCATTTTGTACAACTCCTGGGAGTTCCTCTCTACTTGCTGGATGGGATGTTGCCCAACTCACGAATCAATTATTTAATAAAGCCAATTAGATCTTCAAGCTTACTCAGTTGCATTTTGTTTTTTCACACAGTAAACCCCCCTCTCTGAGCTTCGGCTTCCTCACAGGGCAGGGCGGTGCTGTAAGGATGAAATGTGTACAGCAGCAAGTCAGTCACATGGCCCTGGTAGGCATGGGACAAATGATGGCTTAAAAAAAAAAAAAAGAAAGAAAGAAAAGAAAAAGAAAAAGAGGGATTCCTCCATCTCACAAGATACTGCAGGACAGGAGAGCTGTAATAACCAGGCTTTAGCCAAAGGTACAGAAGCACCATCAACTGGGCACCGAGAGCCCTGGGAGCAGGATCGGAGCCCAGGACCCCACAGGTTTCCATGAACATTTCTGAAGAATGAATATGTAAAAGGGCTTGTAAACAATCATGTTCCAGAAAGAGGTTTTCTATCCTCTAGAAGCACTCACTCCCCACTCAGATAGTAGATCCCTGGAAGGCAGAGGTCCTGCACAAAATCTTCCTACAGACAGAGCCTGGCACATCGGGTACCTGATAATAAGTGTCAACCTAGAAACGAGGCCCACTTTCTTCATCTGAGATCAAAACAGTTGACTAGAAGACTTTTCAAAACACATATGTATGGAGTTTTCCCACGCCAAGTACATGCTGTCTTTCACACCAACAGCCAGTTCTCTGATTCTCTGGACAGAAACTGGGTGTCCAGTCATTCAGTTCTATTCTGATCCTCTCTACCTGGAGTTAGCCTCAGATCAGTACTCCCAGATCATCTCGAAGAGTCTCTGCTTTTCCTTCTCTTCCTATTTCTTTGGGATCCCCTCTCATTAAATCTTCAAGATATAATTATGTAGGGTTGTTACAGGAAAATGCAAGGAAGGATGGGGTCCTGGATCTGAAACACACCACGGGAAACCCAATTCTTCCATGCGTCTGAGAACTGGCCTCATTAACACCTGCCTTGAGTCCATAGGAAACTTTTTAAGTATGTATGCATGCACGTGCATGGAAATATTTATAGCAGGAGAGTGAGAGAGAAGAAAGAGAACATTTTCTTTTTTTAAAAAAAAAAGTACATATGGTATAATACAAAACATATTTGGCCTATGTCCCAGGTTCTTGGCACAGGGTTTCTAAAACCTTGGGAATTCCCTGACGATAGGAGTGTTTCTTGTTATTCACACAGAGTTCCTTCTGAGCCCACCAGAAGTTATTCTAATGAGGTGAGGTGACTTAAGGTGGGACCCCTAGATCACCTCAGGTTGCCAGCATGCAGTTGGTCAGCAGAAAGACCAAGCTTTGACTAGTGGGTGGGAACTTTCAGCCCCACCCAACCTTAATATCCAGGCAGAGGAGAGAGAATGGAGACTGGGTTATAAAAACTTGAACAGAAAGGTTCAGAGAGCTTCCGGATTGGTGAACAGGTGCCAGGACACAGAAGGCAGAAAAGCTCTGTGCCTCCCCCACACCTTGCCTTATGCCTCTCTTCCATTCACTTGTTCCTGACCAGTATTCTTTATAATAAATCAGTAAATGTAAGTGTTTTCTTGAGCTCCATGAGCTGTTCTGAATTTGAACTCAGCTAGACAGAAGTGTGGGTAGCCTGGACACCCCCTTGGCAGGTGGCACCCGATTTGCGGGTAGTCTTGTGGGACTGAGTCCTTAACTTGTAGGATCTGATGCTAACTCCAGGTAGAGAGGATCAGAATAGAACTGAAAGGCTGGACACCCAGTTTGTGTCCAGAGAATCAGAGAACTGGTTGTTGGTGTGAAAGAGCATGTACTTGGTGTCAGAAAACTCCATACATATGCGTTTTGAAAATTCTTCTAGTCAACTATTTTGATCTCAGATGAAGAAAGTGGGCCTCCTCCTTCCTCCTGCCCTTGACGCTTTTTTTCTCTCAGTATGACATAATGATTGAAATCATCATTAACTATGGGTTGTTATGAGGGCCCTAAGCAAGCCACTGGCTGGCTTGTGTATGAACGTAACATGCGGCATTTCTGTGTATCAGAGATGAAGTGCTAGAAAATGCAGAAATTAAAAAGGCAAACATTTTAGAAATAAACATGGTTTACAACCTAACATTCTACAATGTGAATACTATTCATTCCATAATTAGAATTGGGAAGTAGAAAATAGAGAACATAAGAAGGATGGGAAACATAGAGCCAGAAGAATGGTCAAAATTCCAAAATAAGAGAGGCCAGATTCTTTTGAAAAGCACAGGCAAGTCTTTGGATGGC